TTATAGGAGCAGATCAACAAGTGCTCAAATATCTGTCTGCGTCTCACAGACTCTGGTAAACATGAGATTCACATAACAGGTGTGTGCAGCTTGTCAGGCTGCCCAGTAGTCATGTGCCAAAGGTGCCTATAAATTCAGGAGCTTCTTCGTCACTGAAACAGTGAGCACACAGCATGACTTGAAGACACTAAAGGGACTTACTACTACTAGGATTCTATATTCCTTGCACTGTGCTGGATTATCCCTTTAAAACATTTCAGGTAAACTAACAGTGATCTTTAAAAAGGAATCATGCAACTTTTCATGGGTTCAGACTCCACTTATGTTACGTGATATTTAAATAGACATTTGTATTTTTAACAATAAATATTTGTCATATTAAATATTTGTTTAAAATCCATATTTTTGCATGTGTATCACCTGTATCTGTGAGGTATGATGTATTAATCAGACATAATGATAAAAAACATTGATGACATACTTTACTTGAAACCAACATGTGAAATTCTTCTTGGATCACATGTTAGTGATAACTAAATGCTTGTTTTTTTGTTTTTTTTCAGTGAGTGGTGGTATGCTGGCTGGCTCACTTCAAATAGAGTTTATGGCCAAAGGCATTTCCACAACAGAACCATTTCGAAACACTAGTGTTCTTCTCGAGAAAACTTGAAACTCTTCTTTTACAGGTATGCACAATGTTTTAGCATGAACACTTAAAATAGTACTAATACACCCAATGCACAAAATATTACTTGTACTCTGAGATTTTTCCACAGTTAGATGTTATAATCAGAACAAACAAAAGTGATTAAATGTGAGGAGATATGAAGAGTTATATTCTGTGTGTCTTGCTGAGCTGAGTAATGATTTTTTATTGGTGTGTTTAGCGTATGACGTGTGACGCACACAGAGGTCCAGGGTAAATACCATTTAGAGCAAATTTTTCCATTTGTGTCATTAAAGCAGGTGTAGAAATGGTTGGCACGAAACCCAAAGACATGGTGCCCTCTGCCGCAGTGAAGTTCTTTGGAGCAGGCACTGCGGCCTGCATTGCTGACCTCGTCACCTTTCCACTGGATACTGCCAAAGTCAGACTACAGGTTAGATTCACAGAGTTTATGAAGGCTTTACACATTTTGACTTTAAATTTTGTTCCAAATATCTGTGTTTTTAACCTGTTGCTAACAAGTTTTGGATGTCATCCTATTTCCCAGATTCAGGGGGAGGCTGTTAAAACTGAAGGGGCCAGCACAATGAAGTATCGTGGAGTGTTTGGCACCATCACCACCATGGTGCGCACAGAGGGGCCCAGGAGTCTTTACAATGGACTGGTGGCAGGACTCCAGAGGCAGATGAGCTTCGCCTCTGTTCGAATCGGTCTTTATGACTCCATGAAGCAATTCTACACACGAGGCACCGAGAGTGCGTTTCATAACTTAGTATCCCTGTGTTATATGAACAAGGTTGTTTCTCTCCTGCTGCTTCATTGTGACTGACACAAACTTTGTTCACAGGTGCTGGGATTATTACTCGGCTCATGGCGGGCTGCACCACAGGAGCCATGGCTGTAGCTTTTGCACAACCAACAGATGTGGTGAAGGTGCGTTTCCAAGCCCAGGTACGACTCGCTGATGGTGGGAGGAGATACAACGGCACTCTGGATGCCTACAGGACGATTGCACGAGATGAGGGATTAAGGGGCCTTTGGAAAGGTACTTGCCATTTTTACTTCAAATACAAATAATTGCATCGTATTAACTTACCATGAAAATTGCTTCCACTGGTTGTTAAACCATCCTCTGCTTTCTTCCAGGCTGCATGCCCAACATCACCCGTAATGCCATCGTAAACTGTGCAGAGCTGGTGACCTATGACATGATCAAAGAACTCATCCTGAAGTATGACCTAATGACAGGTGAGGCCAAAAATACCCCAAAACAAATTACTGTAGAAAATGCAGTACTACAACTTCTCACACATACAATTTCAAATGACAAAATGAATGTGAAGAGTGTGACTTTGCTTCTGTTCCCGTGCAGACAACCTGCCGTGCCACTTCACAGCAGCCTTTGGTGCAGGCTTCTGCACAACAGTTGTGGCTTCTCCTGTGGATGTAGTAAAAACACGGTTCATGAATTCAAGTGCTGGTCAGTACAGCAGTGCGATCAACTGTGCCCTCACCATGCTGACAAATGAAGGACACTCAGCGTTCTATAAAGGGTAAACATACGCTAACACAACAGTGAACCACACAAGATTAAAAAAACCTGTTTGGCACACTTGATTACTTTTCTTTCATTTGTCTCCTTTAGGTTCATGCCTTCTTTCTTGCGACTGGGGTCCTGGAACATTGTGATGTTTGTGACATATGAACAAATTAAACGGGGTATGACCAGGGCACAACAGTACTGGGAGTCTCCATTTTGATCTCCGCTCGCCAGACGCAATGGACTTGCCTTCACCATGATGCAGTGGTGACTTGTATTTGGAAAAGGAGAGGTCCAAGTGGAGGTGCAACAGAGCTTCAAATGATTTCGGGGTCACATAGTCAGATCACGGACGTGGCTCAGAGATGGACTTCATGTGATTGGGTGACTCTGTGGGCATTGTTATAATACCAGAATGATTTAATGATTCAAGTTTAAAGACACTGTGCATTGTAATGGTGAGCGCCTCCATTACAAAAAATATTTATTCAGGTGTAGAAGATGGATGTGAAAGGCTAATTCCATGAGGATATGGTTGATCTTGTTTTCACATAGATACTGAAGCCTTGTTCAGCTGGCTGTTCACTTTGAAGGTGGATTTTCATGTTTACAAGAAGGAACTGGAAGCTCGTATGAATAATGTTACAGGCAGGTTAGGGAAGATTTTCCATGAAAGCAATGGACAGACTGAATCTGGCACCACAGACCTAAACTGTGATCACTTTATGTCCTTTACTTTATCTTCTGTATTGTAGATCGTTTACAATGTTTACCATTATTTGTGGTGCATGTGGTCAGGGTTTTTATAGGTTTATCTACAGTATGTGCTGCTTATTGTAAATAGCATGATTTATTGCTGGTCAATAATTCATATGAATAGAATGGAAGATGTTGTAGACAATGATAAATAATGCTAAAATGAATTAATAAAATGCCACTTTTTAAAATCTAAACTCTATCTTTTATTTATCTATCTTTTACAGTTTAAATAGGGGGATTAAATAGAGGGGAAAAAGTGGGGTGAAATAGAAATATATCAGGCTGCTTGATAAAGTGGTGAAAGTTGTTCACGGAAAGTGGAGCATCTTGGGATTTAAGCGGGACAGTGCTCAGTATTTACATTTCTTTTTTTTTAGTATATTTTTTGGGTTTTTTTTTAAATTGTTTTATGCCTTTATTTGATAGCACAGTAGAGAGACCGGAAATGAGGAGACAGAGAGAGGGGGAATGACATGCAGCAAAGGGCCGTCCGATGCGGGACTTGAACCGGGGCCAACTGCAGCGAGGACTGTAGCCTCTACACATGAGGCGCCTGCTTAGACCACTACGCCAGTCGACGCCCCGTATTTACATTTCTTTGTGAATCAGAAATCAGTATTATATATCATCTCAAAGGCAAATGTGACACTTAAAACTGGATTTAATTCTTACTTACAATTTGATGATTAATGTAAGATGAGGGTCCCACTTGGTCCCATTGAACCAGTACAGTTAGACTTATTTCCTCCTATCAGACATATGGCGCCATCTTCTTTGACATATCAGTCGAAAAAGAAAAATCAGTGGCTACTTTAAGAATAGAGAAAAGGTGTTCACAAGGGAAAACACTGGCTGATATAAATACACTCATCTGAACATCTCAGCAGCTGGTGCCCTGAGAGCAGAACTGTGAGTTAACTTTAACTGACAGAAAGAAAGCAAGGTTTTCTGTTAGCAATGGGCCTTTGAATATTCATTGGTCCTGGAATATTTCCAGAATTGCCTGCTCCTGATGCTTGGTATTATACTTGGGTCAGTCAGATGTATAGAGTTACATGGCCTTAATACAGCTGCACATGATGTAGGACAACATGTTCCCAAGCATTCATTTATGACATTGCGGTTTACAAGTATTTTATATGATAAGACGATGTTTGTACAATGTAGCCAACCTCTAAACTAATAATACCACATTGCTTTACAGGGCCCTATCAAGGATACATGGTTGCGTTCATACACAACTATTCACATCTACAATACAATTCAGTTTGTAAATTTATTTTCAAAATTACTTTTCAGTGTAGTACTTCATGAATGAGTGCAGGAACAACAGGCCATGGGACAAATTTTAACAAAAAGCTGTGGCAAGATGTTAATGGGTCTGAACATGCAGATCTGATTTGGCGTTCAGTGTACTTTGTGTTCTTGTATTTTCACCATGACTCAGCACTTAACTCTGCATGTGGCTCAGAAGGTCGAGCAGGTCATCCCCAAATCTGAGGGGTTGGTGGTTTGATGCCCGGCTCCTCCAGTCTGTGAGTTGAAGTGTCCTTGGGCAAGCTACTGAACCCCAAGTTATCCCTCAGTGTATGGGTATGATGCATGAATATGTGTGTGAATGTAGCATGTATTGTAAATGACTTTGAGTGGTCTCTAAGACTAGAAAAACACTATATAAGTGCAGTCCTAGAAAGTCCAATTTTGTAATGCAACATTTTATTTTCACAAAATACTCAACTCTCAATATATTCAGCATGTACATCACAACGGTGGTTTTTAATGTTTGTTGTTATGTGTTGTTGGTCTGAGGACACAATACAGAGGAAGCTTGATTATGAAGGAAGACAAAGAGGAAGCAGACAAATACAGCCACAGGCTGTTTGTCACACAGACAGATTTACAGTCTACTCATGGGATCAGCAGGCAGCCCATAAAGATACACTGGGGGTGGGGCCCTACCAGCAACACATGCCATGCCGTGATGTAACAGCATCATGGCAATATTTAAAGAGGCAGCTCTCTTCAACACACCACTGCATCCTGTCCATTCATCGGCTCAGAGTCAGCAATTCATTTGGGTGCTCTCACTTTTTACCAGGCAGTTTCACTTCCACAAATCAAATCACAGTACAATCAAAATCTTTAAAATTGTTTTCTTTCTGGAAAATTGGAATTTTTACCATTACTTTGTTACATTACTATGTTGTTATTTTTTATTTCTGTTTTCCCAGGATTTGGAGTATGATTTTAAAGCTCATTACTTTTGAAAAGTCTTCTATGGAAAAACAAGGAAACCAATTCATAGCTGGGACAAAGTTCAGCCAGAGGGACACCTTTAGAGAATCCTGATCTCTAGTTTCTGTCTGAAAACGCATGCAAAAAGGTAAGAACTAGCCAAAGTTCAGACTTCAGTGTGACGATTTGGAATTAAATGAGAGAAATCATTTTTTTGTGCTGTTGAATTTGCAAGGGCTTTGTTTTTCCGCTGATGCAAACCTTTCCTGTCTGAACAGAATGTACTGAACAGCTGTTTTTTGTTTAGCATCAGTAAAAACTCTCCTTTTGCTTAATGGGGGTGTTACATGAACCGCCCATAGGTATCATAGTGTACAGATTCAGAGACATAGAAAAAACCAAAAAAAAAAACCAAACAAACTCCTAAATAAAAAATGTTCTATAGTGTGGCATTTTGTGATTCTAATGTACCAGCTTGTGTTCTGGGTCTATGTTTTCAGATTAAGGAGGAGCTCCAATCCACATTAATCAGCCATACTTCAATCCTTACATTGATCAAAATAATCCTGGAAAATGGTTGGATTTGGACCTGCATATGTGCCCCCATCAGAAGCTGTTAAATTTGTAGGAGCAGGAACTTCAGCCTGTATTGCTGACCTGCTTACCTTTCCCCTGGACACAGCCAAAGTGCGACTGCAGGTAAAAAAAAAAAGAAGCTTTTTGCGAAGTTAACTTCCCATCAAAACATCTAATTCATATTTTGCATGTGCACATATTATATTTGAATATAGTGTAGGTAAAATATAAATTTGATAAATGCATTTCTTAGTGCTTAAAAAACTGAAAAAGCTGCTTAACGTATATTGAAGTCCTCCATTATCTTTTATCCTGCACAGATCCAAGGGGAGGCCAGAGCCTCAGCAGCTGCAGGGAAAGGGTTTGCAGTGAAGTATCAAGGAGTGTTTGGCACCATCACCACCATGGTGCGTACAGAGGGGCCAAAGAGTCTTTACAGTGGACTGGTGGCAGGGCTCCAGAGGCAGATGAGCTTTGCCTCTGTCCGCATTGGTCTCTACGACTCTGTAAAACAGTTCTACGCTAAAGGCTCTGATCGTGAGTATCCATTCATGTATTATAACTATTAGTCTAGTTGAGGGCGTTCTGCACTAATCACCTCCCTCCTCTGTGGTTCAGATGTAGGCATCGGCAGTCGGCTGCTTGCGGGATGTACCACAGGTGCCATGGCGGTTGCTTTTGCTCAGCCCACAGATGTGGTTAAAGTCCGCTTCCAGGCACAGGCCAGGTCCTCTGGGCACGCCAGACGCTACTGTAGCACCATTCATGCTTACAAGACCATTGCTAAGGAGGAAGGCATTCGTGGTCTATGGAAAGGTAGCTTGAGCTTAAAATGGTTCTGTAGGTTTTGAAGGTTATCCTAAAATTTCTTGTGATAAAGGTTTTAATGTACTTATATTACTCTGTCATACAGGTACAGCTCCAAACATTGCACGTAATGCAATTGTCAATTGCACAGAACTGGTGACATATGACTTCATCAAGGACACGCTTCTTCAGTCCACTCCCCTGACAGGTATAACAATGGCTGCACCAACATGATCCAGTGGCATGAAATAAAGCGTGAGTGTTTTCCTTCCTGGAGTCATAACCTTCAGCCTTTACTGTACAGACAATCTGCCCTGCCACTTTGTGTCAGCCTTTGGTGCAGGGTTATGCACAACAGTCATTGCCTCTCCAGTTGATGTGGTCAAGACAAGATATATGAACTCTGCTTTTGGCCAGTACAGCAGTGTCCTCAACTGTGCCTCTGCAATGATGACCAAAGAAGGACTGCTTGCCTTTTATAAAGGGTAAGCATACACTACATCGATAAAATTTTAATGGTTAATGAGGACGTAAATTAAACATTTATAGAGGAAGGTGAGGAGATCAATGACTGTAAACAAAATGACAGCTATTAATATGAACATGGATGGCAATCAATCACATTATTCTTCTGTTTTTCTGGTCTTGAGGTTCATGCCATCTTTCTTACGCCTGGGCTCCTGGAACGTGGTGATGTTTGTAACATATGAGCAGCTGAAACGGGCCATGACGGCAGCGAATCACAACTGCACAACTATACTGTAATCATTATTGGCTGGCAGAGGGCTGATGTGATAGCACAGCGATGTTGTTTACACATTTCTTTACTTTTTGTTGCCTCCTAGTATATATTTCAACTCAAATTATCAAAGTTATACAAATTGTGTTTAAACTGACAATTACATACATTTAATAGTTTAGCAACACATGTATTAAAATGTGATCAATATTCACTGCTGTGACATTTATTTTAGAGCTTGTTTGATCAGATGCTTTCTCTCAGCCGAGAGCTTGTCGGGGAACTGGATATCAAAAGTAATGATGAGATTTCCTCTCTGTGAAGCATCCTGGGACAGCGGCATTCCCTCTCCCGTCACCACTTTTTTGTACGTAGGGCTGATGACAAACAAATCAGAGACAGGAAAATGGTAACTGATGCAGATGAAGCATGAGCCATAACAAAACATATCCTTCTAGAAATGTCCCTCTTTAACTGTACAGGTGATATAAAGAGTCTGAATTTCTTATGATAATCTCTCCCTGTTACAATTATTCATTCATCTTTTAGAGTATCTGAGATTAATGTCAAAATATTAAAACAAAATACAGTATTACACATGAATGTTATTTGTTATTCCACTTTTGCCCCAATATAGGAAATCACTTACTGCACAAGGTCACTGATGGGAATATTGAGTAGCCTGCCATCTAGTGTCTCCACATCCACAGAGAAGCCAGTCAAGGCCTGTGGTAAAGTTTTTTACTTCAGTGGTTATTCTGCTTAATCTAAATCTTTAAGTTTGAAATCCTCTTTAACGTGACTCACCATCTCCAGAGAGATCTGGGCCTTGTAGATCAGGTCATTGAGTTGTCTTACGAACATAGGATGACTCTTCTGTCGCACTATGAACACAATATCTGCAGGGATGCTGTTTGGTCCCTAAAAATAAAATACATTAAGATGATTACATTATAGTCAGGCCCTTTCGCTAAGAGACAGCTTAGTAATAACGTGTTCCTATGTATAGTTTGATAAAGAATAGCTATGCACATATTTTCTTTTGACTAGAACTAATCAGATCATTACACAAAAAGCGTATTTGACGACAATCATATAACCACATCTGAGCTACTTGACAAAGATCTACTCAGAGAAAGAGCTCAACATAGGGTCAAAACAAAGTTTGTAGTTGTAATTCAACCTTTGTAAACCTATAAAATAAATCTGCATGAAATGAAATTCAATTACTAGATGTGTAGAAATGATTTGTAATTGTAGGAAAAAATGACATATATCTGTACACATACTCTTTTCAAACATGCACAAACTTGAATTTCTCATACAGATTTATTTCACAGGTTTACAAAGGTTGATTTACAACTACAAAGTTTGGAATTATTTGTGAAATCACCTTACAAGCTCAGAATCTTATTGACCCTAATTTGAGCTCATATTAGAGTGGGATCTGCTGAGGCCACCTACTGGTAACACTGAAGCAGATCCAGTGGAAAGTATAACAGTTAAATTAACAGAACAATTTAATACTTAATTACTTAATTACCTACCCGTTAGTATTAAACCCTTATTTTTCTACTATATTTACCTCATTCTGACATAAGCATTTCAAAACTGTCCACTGCATTCTGTGGTCACCATTTTTTACAATTACAATAGGTTTAGAGAAAAAAAAGCATGAAATTTAAAATTCTAGTATGAAATGATACATTCAGATGTATGATAAAAAATTTATTCAGTATTAAGCAAGTTAATAATTCTCTTATGATTGATCCAATATTATCCAAAGCATTTACCCTTCTCCAACAGAGAAGCCTACAAGTGTTATTATTTTGACTTTCTTTATGCTCATGATAATCTAATATACATTTCCACAATGTTGCATTATTATAATGTCAGTAAAAATGTTCTTCATGTACTTTGAACCCAAACTTTTCAGTTTGAGGAATATATTTTGTGTTTCTCATCCATAATTATACATATTGGTATATTTGTCACTGGCTAGACTTCCCTCTAAAGCTTATAGCACACTAAAAGCTTGGATTATCTATAATGAAACAATGAAGTATTGGGTAAATAAGCACCAGGGACAGCGCCACAAACCAAAACTCAGATCTTAACAAAGATTCTTGAGAGAAATTTTGCATAAAGCAAGGAAATAAAGACACAGTGGGGACTATCACCAAAACTTTACCTAGTTCTAATCAGAATTACTCATCCTAACCTCAACCATGACAACATATGTCAACAAACCATTTCAAGTCACATGTTAGCAGCTTTTTCTGACTGCTCTCACAGAGGAAGATAGTGTTGAGTAGGAGGACCAGTAGTAACAACAGGTCAAATCCCTTTTACAGTATTACTGTATAAATCCCTGCACAAAAGTCGCTTTTCATTGACACCAGATTAAGTGCCTATAGGTCTTCTTCAATCTGATTAAAGTCATACTGATGATGAACTATAAGACTGTTGAAATAACCACATGCAAATAAGATAAATGGTTTAACAGGATAAAAATAAAACATCATACAGAATGATGAGTTCACTCTCCTAAGACATTGCTACAGGCATCAGACTGGTTGAATTGTTAGTGACAATTACTACAGCTGTCTTAAATATCAACAAAAAATATGTATAGCTCTTACCTGATCTCCCTCTTTGGAAAAAATTATCCTTGTGCCTTCTTTCCATCCAGGCTTAACATTTATAGACAGGATCTTGTCTTTGATACTGGATGTGTATCCATCCTCATTCATAATCTGTTGAACAAATAAGGCAAAAATAATACATGTATTTCACTTTCAGTGTGATTTATTCAATGTAAATATTTTTTTATGCAAAGTCATTTCAAACCTCTCGAGTTGTTGTTGTATGAACTGTATGAATGATTTGGCCAGTGAAAAACTGGGATGAGAAAAGATAGTTATCTCACGTACAGATGTTCTTACCCTGCGAGATATTTTTATCTTTTTTGTGCATCCATGGAAGAGATCATCCAGGGACAAATGAAGATCTCTCTCTATTGGGGAATCTTGAGTCTTCACCACTCCTGGTTGCAGGCCACCAAACTGAAGAGGTACATCATTTGTATAGAAGTCTAGAAAAAAATATGATTAATGCAGTTGTTATGAAATTTGAAAAATCACATTCACTAAATGATCTTTGCCTCTGTCTTTCTCACCTGCAAATGGGTTGTCACCTCCGAAAAACTGTCTGAATGTTTTGTCTGGATTCCCATGGTAGACATATTTAGATGACCAAGCCCCATCCCTGCCAAACTCGGGTGGGATACCACCTTTTAGTCCCTCCTCACCAAACTTGTCATAGGTTGCCTTTTTTTGAGCTGTTACAAAGAAAATAGATATCGTTATCAACCCAAACTACTAAACAAATACAGTTAAAATACTAGTATTAGTAAAATGGTACTGATATTGTGGTAAAAGGTAGAAAGATAGATTTACATAATTGCCCTGAACACTTTTATTGTAGTTTACAGTAGCTTTAATTATACAGACTTTGGTCTGTGTCGATCACATATTAATAGAATAAGCTTTCCTATCAGCACTTTCCACCCCATCTTCAGCTGTAGAATCATGATACATTAAGTATAATGTTTTGTATTATAATATTTTTTTAATCTTCAGACATAAGAACAGATAGGTAGGGAATCGGTGACATTAATTACAGATAAACAAGCTGAAAATAAAATATAAGGACTCTATTATTCTCACATATATTTTTATTGTGTTTTATCCTATTTTAGTTGTGTGTCTATCTTTAACCTCATTGAATTAATTAATTTTTGCCGCAATAATATCCTTTCTTCATGAATACTACAGGTTGCACGGAGGTACACATGTTGCAAATAACCCTACACCAGTCGCCCCTTAACAACAGAGTTGGTATTATAGTAAAATATACAGTATAGTCTACGTGATGGGTTGTACTAACGTAATAAATAATCTAGAATATTCATGGCGAAACCAATTTCAGTTTCCCTATTCCTGATACTTACGGTCGCTCAATACATCGTATGCTTCACCCAACTGACTGAACTTGTCGGTGCATCCAGGTTCTCTGTTGCTGCTCGGGTGAAACTTCAACGCAAGACGTCGATATCTGGGGAAATAAGAGGAAAAATTGTGACAACAAACACAAACCAGTTATTGAACATTTGTGAGAGGAACTTAACGAGAAACTTAACGGTTGGTAGTTTAACAAGACCTACGCCTTTTTTATTTCTGCGTCTGTTGCATTTCTGTTTATTTCCAGCGTCTCGTAGTAATCCTTAACCATTGTGGAATTAAATGCTTATAACTATCTTAAAAACTCAAGGTAAAGTTCAGTGACAAAATTAGCTAAAAACACAGAGCAGCCGTTGTTTAGCTTGGTTTCCGGGGTAACAGTAGCTTGGGAAATTGTCGCGGGACTTACAGCCAACTGCGGATAAGGAATGGTAAATGACTGACAAAATAATTGACTCGGTTTCACTTTTTACACTATCTTACATACAAATAAAGTTTGATTCTTGGATTGATAGTTGCACCACCTTTGTGTGTATGTATGTGTGTATGTCTCCTGCCATCTACATTATGTACCCTGTCACTGCAGTTGCAGGTAATTTGATTAAGCACAGTTCCATTTTATTTAGGAATATGCACAATGTGAGCTGAATATAAACTCACTGCAATGTACAGCCATTATTTTGACACAGGGCCCCACCAAAAGGCAAGAACCACAAGATTAGCTAATGATGCAGAACTCCAAATAGTTGATATTCTTTCCCTAATGTTACTAGTTCCTATAGCAATTAATCTAATTATATGCAACTATTGACATGAAGTGAACATGAAGTTTTTAGTCTCTGGGGCAGTTTTGCAATTGGCTTGCTACAGGTTCACACAGGTCACTATGATCCCCCTAATATTTCCCTTTATATGAATACTTGTGCCACATTGGACCATAACAGACACTCAGGCATGAATAATGGTTGGATTCCATTTCAAGGGCTCTGGTATTATGAATGCTGGTTCAGTGGCCTGGCATATTTTAGAGCCTTCATTATTGCCATTAGTTTCCCCTGTGCTTGTTCTGCAATGACAAGTGGAAATGTCTGCTACAAAACCTATTAGTCCAGCTCCAGCATATCACACCTGCAGGGGATAACCAGGTTGATTATTGTTGGTCAATGAGTACGCGTGACCGTGGATCGTTCTGCTCCATGACCACTATAACACTTTTTAGGCCTTGCTCTTAATAATAGTGTTAGTGTTCTGTTCTGTTCCTGTGGTTCACACTGTGTTGTAACCACTGAGGCTGAAGACTTAACAGAAACAGATCAAAATCTCTGCAGTACTCAAGAGTATGTTATCTTTGATTTATCATTTAAACATTACAAAATGCCATGCAAATCACATAATCCACATCTTACAGCTGTCAATAACACGTGAATTTCAGCAGCGGTGACAAGTGTATTTTTATTCTTTCATTTAAAACCATTCCAGACAGAAACGTTAAGGACTACTTTGCTATACAAGTCAGACTCTCCTCCATAAGTTCACAAAAAAATTGCACAGTTTTATCAGTATGATCAAATTTTCATTTAGAAGTGGTGGAGGGAACAGCAGACACTCTACTGATTCTGTTAAAGATGGTCCAGATGGATGCATATTTTATTAGTGATTCAGGACTCATACCAAAAGTGAAGATATTAACAGCCATAAAAAAGAAACATGAATCCAACAGAAATAAATATTACAAGTCATTGTGGATTAAATACATATGTAGAATAATAACTAACAAAAGATCAATGCCAAAAAAATAAAATTGTTCGTAAAACATCATACCAAACTTAATTAGATAAACCCAAAGCCGAGGAAGCCCTCTACAATTAAACTCCAAAAGCATATATCTCCATATCTAATGTTTATGGTGGGTTTCATGATTATGACTCTTAATATATGAGAAAATCCTCCTCAAACACTATTATCAAAGAAATAGTTTCATCTATGAAAGCTGTGGTCTTTAGAAAAAAAGAAAGATCTATCCAAATAAAAAGAAAATAGAAAATGGAAGCCAGGGTAAAAATAACCCATCTCAAGGGACTAGTATGGGAAAAGAGAAAGGACGGTAATGTGGATGGTGTAGTGGTAGTGTTAATCTTGTATTAGGAGTTGTGTTTGTGCTGGTTTGTGACTGTGCGGTTTCAATGCGTTGACTTGTCATATTGTGCTGGTACATGTTGGGAGAACTGTGAGTCTGCTGATACAGGCACCTCAAAGCACAAACTCAGTTTAACATGCCACCTCCAACTTGTGTGTGTGTGTGTGTACAGTACACTTGTCAACACTGAGATCCCCCAAATATGTTATTGATTTACTTTAACACAACCTTTTCCACATATTCAAGATGGGTAAAAGTAAGAACAGTTTGTTGATAACACAATTCATGAATAAAACTTTGCCAATCAATTGCAACAGAACAAATTATGTTAACAAATGCACACAGCATCCACATTGTGCCTATCAAGCTTAAAGCAATATTTAACTTTTTAAAGAATATTCTCACTCTTAAACACATACTTTGATTTAATATCTTTAACACACATATTCTTTCAGTTTGGTTCAGTCATCTTTAGACACAAACTAAAGCAATATGATACCATCTTCGTTTGAAATGACAAGACAACAGGAGCTCAGTGAAGAAGCCTGAGCTCCAGCTGTGTAAACTGTTCCAATATATGTATTACAGCGCAAATATTCAATTTAAGTGATTTATGACTTTCAGAGCATCCCGATGAGAGTGCAAGATTTCCACAATGGCGAGGATAATGGATGTAGTGTTCTCTTTCAGGATTGGGCACAGAGGTGGGTGTAGTGAGGGGTACAGATACAGAAAAACCAACCGGGTTTGAGAAAAAGCCAGTTAAAGTAATATTTAGCCATGGCTTAGGCCAGCATTAGCAGGAACAGCCTCCTTCACTGACAGGTTGCTCTGGTGGCTTCTCCAGCTTAATGTCAATCACTGAGGGGGTTTAAGAGTTAAGGAACATCACGGAATGGGAAAAATACAAAAATGTTTAAAATGTTTATGAGAGTTGTTAGTTCTAAACAAAACTAGACAAGTGCTTTCCAGACCTAAGTTAATAGAGATAACATTTTAAAGTTGTGTACATCAGATCTGCAGAAGGCACACTGGTGCTGAAACATCACCTTATGGAATAAAGTCTGCGCTTCATCACCATCAGAGTGCTCCAGACTCTTTGCAAGTATTTTTGCTTTTTTACTGACTATGGTTATTTAGGAGTCTTGAGCAGCTGAGCACACCTCCATACAGTTTTAAATGAATTAATTATACAAAAGGTTAGCTCTTATTTGAGAAAAAACTCAAAAATTATAAACCTTTGTGAACACTACCATTAGGGCTCGGTATTTCTTTCAGTTCCAGCGTCAGTGAAATAAACAGATTTGAATACTTAAGATCTAAATTAAATATTCTAAAATATTGATCTTAATCAGGAACCATCTGATCAATGAATAAGTAAACAAGACTTTTTGCCTAGTTTTCAATACTCTGATACATTATGGTGAGATGTGATGTTTTTAGATGTTTTTCCCCCAATGAAACTGCAGGAGAAAATTAAAATTGCAAAAATGGTCCGTCTTTTTTTTTTGTAACCTCATGAATTTATGAATTTATCACATAGAGCCCCCACCCCACGATTTCTGCCTATGAAACAGTTTCATTACGAGTGAATGATGAATGAAATGATGTTTTCTGTCTTTTCATCTTTAGTAATTAACGTGTCTACTTGTGGGAAACTATGATGATTTTTGATCACATTTGCAGAAGAGTTGTGGTGATTGGACAAAAATGCAAGGTTGCACAGAATTCATGGGGCTTGGTTGAATTTGCTGCGAGAAGACACAGCTGAGAAGACTTGTTGCAGGAATAATTTTCTATCAAAGTTTTTATATTTTACTGCTGTGAATCCAAGCGGCTGACATCTGCCGTCTATAGGAGCATCCAACAAAACCTTTCAGTAAAAAACCCAAAACCCTTCAGTAAGTAAAACAGGAACTATCCATATAATATGACATAAGAGAGCGAGGAGACCTCCTGACTCTCTCCTGTCATGACAGACACTAACATGTACACAAAGGATACTGTCCTCTCTACTCTTGTCCTGTGTGGTGTCCATGCCAGGGAGGGCGGCTGCCACACGACGGAAAAGCTGGAGGGAAAGAGAACCAGACGTATTCTGTCAGCAAGGTGAAATCAAGATAACGTGCTTTGAATATTCCCTTTACATGATTTAGCACTTGAAGCTCATACAGAGGAAGACTCCCTCACAGAGCTTTATAAAATTTGATTTGAATTAAGCAGCATGTGTTTGAAGTACTGCAAGACCATAGTCCTGCACTACAGAAGAAGTTTGAAAAGAGGATGTAATTGTGGCTTACTGAGACCTTCCATTGATAGAGCTTGGAGGATTTTAAGTGATTGATGGATTCACATGAAATTTAAGAAAAGTGTGCTGAATGTATGATGATGCTTAACATAGCCGCCCCCCTCTAAAAGGCATCATGTAGAACTAGACTTCATTACATGCAGATTTCCCAGCAACAAAATGCTGTTACTGTGCTAATCAGTGGAGTGGAGAATATTGGTTTGCAAACCCTGACCCACCTCTAGGGCTGTATGATTGATGGTTGGCCGATGCAAATCATTACTTGTAGCAGGTGGGGGAGAGCTTGAAAAACAAATCCACACATCTCACATATGACCAGAGGAAGCTGATGTTTGAAGCACACATGCATGTGTGAGAGGCCAATCAGAAGAGAGCATGAGCACTATGAACACACACACAAAAAGGTGCACACGCTCTACCTGTTTGACATTGTAGCCTGTCTTTGCACTTGTTTCAATAAACAGAACATTCATCTCTTTTGCTCTCTGTTCTCCCTCCTCTGTGGTTATCTGTCTGTGATGAGCCACGAAATCCCCGTACATGACACACAAACACCCACAGGGACACGCACATATCGTCACAGACATTGACAGGAAGACAAAGGGAAAAAAAATACAGACTGTGATTATATTGAAGTGGATTAACAAGTCGTGCCCCTTCCTGCTGCTACTGTCACCTTTGCTCAAGACCAAAAGTTTCCTAATAGAGCTTCTGGCTGTTCATTGTGTCAGCTGAGTTCCACAACAGGAAGAGAAGGCATTATGTAATAGTTGGGCATTTTGCAGAGAGTTAGATCTAACAAATGCTACCATTCTAATGTGTGTATGGTCAATAAGTAGCTGTAAGCTCCAGCTGGTTACCTTACCTTATCACAGAGACTGGAAACAGGAGCAAATAGCTAGCCTTGTTCT